ACAGCCATGTCATCCTCCACTGATGACCAAGGACAAAACCTCTAGATGCATGATTTTAATACACCTATTATAAAGACTCAACTCACATGAGATCTTAAACCCAACAACGACACTAGTACGATAGGTAAGGGTAAAACCCCCAAATGTGTGTATTCAACACTCATGATACAATAATTAAATTCTCATATTCATTCTCCGAGACTCACATAGAGTTAACATTTCATTTTCCATTTTCAAGGTCAACTTTCATAAACTTTCCAAGTCAACAAGTTACACCACTTATTCCCAAAAATACTTTTCCCATTCACAAAATCAATTCCATTCTTTTTATTTTACAAAACCAATTCCATGGATAATAAAAGCCATAATTCAACTCGGTTCAATACATTCATTTCAAAACAACCCCAAAGTCATAATTAATCCCTTAGGCATTAACACCTTCACCCAACTCATATTAATAATGGTAATTTACAATTATTGTTCGACTACCCTCCATTTTAATTTACCAAATCAAAACATAATTTAGGGCTTTTTCCTCTTTCCACAATAACATGCTAATTTATACTCCAATTAGGCCAAAAAACTATCAATGATAAAAATAATCATTCTCAAACAACCAACCCTAGGTTCCCTCACATGGTTTTCAAAGAAATTCAACATGATATGATTTTCATGCAATATAAAACTACCACATGTCTATCTATAGACGGAGTATTGAAAAAGAACAAGGAGAATCCCTACCTCAAATGGAGAACCCAAGGGGAAGAAGAGCCAAACTCGGAAGTGCTCCAATCCCCAAGTTTTTCGGATCAAAACGAAGCCCACGTAACCCTCTATCTTTCTTACAAAGAGATTAGGATGGGAACACCCAAGAACTAGATTGATACCTAGAGAGAATGTGAGTGCAGAGAGAGAGAGTCGAATCTAGGGTTTGAGACAAAAAAGGGAAATCAAAAAGTGAAGAAGAAGCTGCTGCTGCGAACTGATAAATACGTTCCTCGCTCGAGCGAAGGAGTGGTCGCTCGAGCGACCAGACACAAAGAAACCTCGCTCGAGCGCACAAAGCCTCGCTCGAGTGAAAAACACGAAGCTTCAGGTCTGCAACCTAAAAGCACACTCGAGGGAGCGTTTCGCTCGCTCGAGCGAAGAAGCCCAAAACATACAGCTAGCTCGCTCGAGCGAAGAACATCTCGCTCGAGCCAAGGCTGCATCTGTACAAAACCTGAAGACACGAAAATCCCGCTCGAGCGTACAAACTCTCGCTCAAGCGAAGAAGCAACAACACAAGGCTCGCTCGAGCGACAAAGTCCTGGCTCGAGCAAAGAGGCTAAAAACTGGACAGCAACCATATGCTTCTAATCACAACCAGCCTAAAACAGACCTGTCCAAAACATCCTATAACTCAAATACAAAGTATTGAAGGACGGAAACAAGCTAAATACAACAACCCACATCTACGGAACCAAGTCCAGAATACAATACTCAATGAAGGGAAAACCGGAATCGCTATAGTTTTAAGAATTCATGACATTTCTCACCCTTGGACCTCATTTGATCATGTTTTGGAAGCTTTGAAAGCCAAGTTAATACATGCATGTTATACATACATACAATTCTAGTTTAGTTTTGTTCAATTGGCAAAGCTTTGGGGCTTGATTTTGCGAAATGGTTTACAATTCCTCATGTACAAAGAGTGTCTCAATGTTTTACTAAGTTTCGGCCTAAAAAGATGTGTTTTGATGCTTTGAAAATGGATTTTGCAACTTAAACATCAATCTGGAAATTTCAGAATTCTGCCTCTCCGCTTGAGCGACCACCCTTTGTTTTGCACTTCCTCTCGAACGACCAAAAGTTGGCTTGAGCGTAAAATGCATGCTCCCAGAAGTTTACACATTTTGCAAACTGCTTGAGCGATTAGAGTTGCGCTCGAATGAAGACCTTAGTCTCATACTCAAGCGGCCGTCGAGTGGAGAATTCACACAATCAGTACTTTTACAAAGGTTACAGACTGCTCGCGCGACCGAAGCTGCGCTCGAGCAACGACTCTTATTTTTGAACCTCTGCTCGAGCGAAGAAAGTTACGCTCAAGCGAAGACCTTGTTTTCAGCAAATTTGACTAAGTGTTTTGACCTACATTTTGACATCCTCGTTGTATCTTAGGTATTCTTAAGCCCTAATTAAGACATAATAATGAAGATAAGACTTAGAAACACAATAAGAACGAAAATGCAATAAGTTAAGTACTATCCGGGTGTGTGTTTCAATATGTGTATCTGTTATGTTTGTATAGGTCACGCGCCGCAAGTTATCTGATTTGTCTGCTTTGCCTGTCTGCTTTGGAGTCATCTGTAAGTAATAACTTAGTAAAGCTATGGTCAACTTTATTTATTTTATGTATGATGAAATAAGATCTGTTTTCTGAAATGATATGTTCTGTATAATGAATGATTGTCCAATTTCTGACAATATATCGTGGCATCCTTAGCATCATGTGCTATCTGTTAGCTGTTACCTGGTATCGGAGGTTCCATCATGGAACTTAATGTGTCTGCAATCTGTTACCCATACCGGAGGCCCTATCATGGCGCTCAGCATATCTATTCTCTGTTACCCAGATCCAGAGGTTCCTTTATGGAACTGATTACATAACCACTATCTGATCTGCAACTGTTTTGTATCTGTTTGTATCTGTTTTGTTAACGCTAATGGATGTACTACGCATGATTAAGCATGAACTCTGGTTTCTGTATAAGAATATGTATCTGTTTCTGATATGAACTCTGTTTTCCGAATCTAATATAGGACATTATTCAATTAAAACCCTTTACTCTATTATTATTTATTAAGCATCCGTTCATTCTATTACTTATGTATGTAGGTGATCAAGCGCATGGCCAGGCTTAATGATAAACGTCTAGAGCTCTGTTTTGTCGGCCAACCCTTGTGCCTCTCGAGGAGGTTCCGAAAGTCATGTGGTCATGTTTTGTGAACGTTTAAGACTTTGTTTTCTTTTTTGATTATGAACAAGTTTTCTGTTTATCTGTATATCGAGCTAAGTCCCCTTTTGGTTATATTTGTAATGATTGTGACATAAGACTACTGTACTTATAACGTCACGTATATGTATATAAAGTTTTGAAATATCTGTTCCATATATGTCTACACAGCTCAATGGACTATGTATGTTCTATATTTGCTTCCACTAGCCCCTTATAATTTGCTAATCAGGTCGGAGGCCTTCGGTAATTCGAGAATTACTGGCTAGTTACGATGCGAAACCTATAGAGCCGAGTTTGGGTTGTGACAGTTGGACTTTTCAAGGAAATTTTTTTGTACTTGCCCTTAATGCATTAAAGTTTTATTATGAGTGGATTTTGACTAAATCTCCCTCGATCTATCTAATGAAAATGGTAAACATCTAAAAAATTTTAAAAAGAACATGACAAAAGTTGTATATATGGAGTGTTTAAAGGTTGTTTGTAATGATCTAAATAAATATGTTTTTTTAACTTTTTATGAAAAGATACGTAGAAATATAGAGAGATGATGTGACATAAAAAAAATAAAAAATATGCTATTGTAGTTCACCCTAAACCAACTCTTAATAGTTAATAAAATAAAACATTTCAATATATCACTTTCTCTACTTTTTTAACATCATGTACCATTGCCAAACAAAAGGCAAAAATTTTGTATTGATAAACTTTTTTGAAAGACCCTACAAAACGAATTTTTTTGAAATTATCAAAGTAAGTTGTATGATGAATCTACGATAGCCCAATAACACTAACCAGTTGAATTGAAACAATGAACAGAAACAATGAACACGAGACAAGCTCGATTCAGTTTACATTACAATACCTGGATATAATTTGTCTGATAATATTTTTGAAGAGGTTATTATGATTTTTTCAGAAGAATATTATAAATTTTTTTAATAACAAAGCAGGGCAATATAGTTTATCCTGCTTACTATTTTGATTTGATGGTCAATCAAAAAAAAAAAAAAAAAAAGTTGAAAAAAAAAAGAAATAAATAATTTAGAATTATTGAAGAGTTGGTTGGTGGTGTACACTAGCACGATAACATAACAAGTGGCTGAGTTTAACATGGTGACATCACAACTGCATTCAAGTATCACGAAAAGTCTCTTTTTCAATTAGGCAAATAACAACGCATCTGATGGCTTTAGACACGGCATAGTGATGGAGGGGATTGTCTTAATCCCTAAATTCCGTCTCATTTCTAAACTATATATTTTAATTAAAAAATTAAAAATTATTATATCATTATTTTTATTTTTTACATATCTTTTCATAAACAAATTACAAATGAAATCTTAATCTCAATTGTTATTATTATTTAATAAATTAAAAAAAACAATGCTATTAGTAATGATTTTTAAAAAATTATTCAATTTATTGAATTTATTATGAAAAAAAGTGAAAATAAAATATTTATTTTTTGAAAATAAAATAAAATATTTATTTTTTCTTTTGTGATAAATCAAATATGTTAGAATGATCTAATTTTTTTAATAAATGATATATACCAACAAAATAAATTATTTAAATTTTTAAAATAATTCATAATGAGTTCCTCACGTCTAAACGTTTTCAAGAACTGAATGTTGCATTTATTTAAAATCTTACTCACAATCTTATTAAAAATATAAATATCTAAACATCATTAGACGCTTAAATATGTTCACTTTTTTTACAACCAATCAGATTTGGCCGAAAGATTCTTAATGTGTAATTATTTCCGAAAGAAGTCGCATACTGATAGTTTGGCTGAGTCAGAGCCAACTAAACAAGTCCATATTTTCAAAAAGTAAAATACAAAAAATGTCTCCGTCTGAGCTGGACCCGGCCTAATCACAAGGACAAAAAGGTCAAAGGGGCTGTCTCCGATGATCTCCAACCAGCTGCTGTTATTCCCTGTTTGATGAATTTATAAGATAAAATAATAATAATAATAATAATGCAATCACATTCATCATCATCATCATTATCATTAGAAACTTTTATGGTTGTACCCCCACCCTCACCATAAATCTATTATCTCTTTCTCTCTCTCTCTCTCTGCTGTTTCTGAAACAATTTTTTAATCTGGGACCTGGGGTTTCTTTTCTTTCTTACTTTGGTAATCGATCGGCCTTTTAAAAATGGAAAGAGAACAATTTATGGTGCCCCCAAAAAGGCCCGAACTTGAAAGCCTTCTCCTCGACCACGATTTCCAATTCCCATCAAACTCATCTTCTTCTTCTTCTTCTTCTTCTTCTTCTTCTTCTAATAGTAGTAGTTGTCCTGAATCCTTGAGCAATAACAATCATCCCCCTGTTAGCTTCGAAGAAGACATCGAAGACCCTTCTCCTGCTGCTGCTGCTGATGAATTGTTGGTCTCTGCTCCGTCACTTGGATCAACATCCTCCTCGTCGTTCTCCCACGTGGGACCCCCCAAAAAGATTCACCGATGCAAGACAGCACCAGCCATGGCAGTGGTTCGGGACCTGAGGACCCAACAACAGAAGACAATCCAGTCGGACCCACCCGACCCAACTTCCCTATTGAGGCAGGCAGCCTTGTTAGTCGTAATCTACCTCTCCCTAGGGGTGCTCATCTATTCCTTCAACAGCAACCATTTCTCAGGAGGAGAAGACAAGACCCACACGCTCGTGGACGCACTCTACTTCTGCGTCGTAACCATGTGCACCATCGGCTATGGGGACATCGCCCCATCATCCCCTCACACAAAGGTGTTCGCCTGCTTCTATGTATTGGTGGGTTTTGGGTTCATCGACATATTGCTGAGTGGGGTGGTCAATTACGTTCTTGATTTGCAAGAGAAGATGATCTTGAGGGGCATTCTTCTTCAGAACCAAGAGGAGAAGGAGAATAATAATAATAATAATAATAATAATTACATGGTTGTTGTTGATGTGGAGAAGGGGAGGATGAGAATCAGATTGAAGGTTGGTCTGGCACTGGGGGTGGTTGTGTTTTGCATAGGGATGGGGACGGTGATGTTGTATTTTGTGGAGGAATTGGATTGGATTGATTCGTTTTACTTGTCGGTGATGTCCGTTACCACGGTTGGGTATGGAGACGCGGCCTTCAAGACCCTGACTGGCCGTTTGTTCGCTGCAATTTGGCTTCTTTTCTCCACATTGGCAGTGGCGAGGGCCTTCCTGTATTTGGCAGAGGCCAGGATTGATAAGAGGCACAGAAGGATTACCAAGTGGGTGTTGCATCGCGATATCACCGTTCACGACTTACTTGCTGCCGATATCAACAACAACGGTTTCATCAGGTATAAACATATACATCATATTATATTAGTTTACCCCTTTGTCTATTTTTATATAATATAATTCATTAAACCCCTTTTCTTTTTCTTTATCCCAATCTCTCTTTGGAGATCTCGCGTTGTACTTCAATCGAAACCTGGTCTTGAGTGAGGCAGTTGATGAGCTCCACTGATACTTCAGTGGTGGGTCCCTTCCTTTAGGTTGAGTTAAATCAGGCCAGCAACCAGTGAATCTGGACCTGGACTCACGGATGCTGTGATAACAGCTCAGAGCATCCTTTTTTTTGGATCAAAAAAAAAACTTATAACTTTATACACATCAGCTGCTCTTTGTCCATTTCCTAAAAAAAAAAAAGACTTATAACTTTATACACATCACTACTGAGCTGCTCTTTGTCCATTTCCTATGCTGACCATGAAAATTTCTACAGTCTGCCTTGGATAATTTTATGCATTTTTTAAAGCAGAACCCAATTGTCGGATTTTATTATTGCCGCTATCATCAGTTATCACAGTTAAATCATTTGGAATTAACCCCTCAATTCCCTCTTCTTTCTTTCTTTCATTCTTTTTGAATGACATGTTGTACAGTAAGTCGGAATACATCATCTACAAGCTCAAAGAAATGGGAAAGATTGGGGAGAAAGATGTACTGCAGATATGCAATCAGTTTAGTAAGCTTGATTCCAACAACTCAGGAAAAATAACTCTGCCTGATCTATTGGAGAATCGTTTCTAGCACTGAAAATCAGAGTTGGCTTGGCTTGGATTATTTATTTATTTGTTCGTTCTAGAAGGAAGGGGAATGTGAATATTCAACGCAGGGAATTGAAGAAAGAGGCTGTTTGAGTAAATCTCCTTTCCAAGAACAACTACTTACATACACGAGCCATTTGTTGGCGCCATCTCTTGCAAAAGCTCTACTGCCAAAAGCTTATTTCACAAAAGAGAAAATGTACATTCATTCATGGAAGGAAGGTATGTAACTTTAGGATTACCAATTTAATGCTGCAATTATCTCAAAAAAATAATGGAACAAAAAGAGGGCAATAGAGCAAAAAGAGGGCAATAGAGCAAAGGTATGTAACTTTAGGCTTTTGAAAGTGTCATTGAACAAAAAGAGGGCAATGGAATTAATGCTTTAATTTCTTCAATCTTTTGGTTTAGAGATCTCTTAACCAACTCATGGGGGGCTAGGAATTGTGTCATGTAATTTTGATGACAGTCTGTATTTCTAATTGAGTAACAAAATTCCATATGACAGTAAAACAGAAATTTAAACAGATAAGATGAATCTTTTGTGAGATGCGTGTGGTGTGATCATCACTATTCTAAAACTAAAACCATGGTGTGCTCCTGCCTCCTTAGGTGAAGGTCCTAGCGTTTATGAAGGCGGCTCCAAGATCTAACCAGCTGCCAGATGCTCTCTCACAGCCACTCCCACATTTGGAATTCACATCCACCAAGAGGATTATAACCTTCACAACCGAATTGTCCAGAAAATGAAGAAAAACCTTATAATGCGTGTATAGTATACAGATGTATATTGCTAGTTTCTTTGCAAATGTGAATCTATCATGTATTAGAGACTTGATTGAATAAAAAATAAAAACTTGAAATTGTAAACCTTTGATATATTTTATAGTAGTAACAGATGAAAATAATATATCTCTGTAAAAATAGAAGTATAAATCATATGAAACATGTTAAATACAGACCTTTAAACACAAAAATGTTTTTGAAAACTTATGGTGCAAGAAAAATGAGAATGTCATAACAGAGTCAGAATTGTTATAAAAGTTAAAGATCTGAAAATAATAAAAATTTCTGGGACTACACATGAATGCAGACAAGTACCAGGCATGCGTGTGTGCAGTAATTAATTTTATTTTATTAAATAAAAAAGAAACTAGGCTTTGGGAATCAAGTAAAGTAAAAGAAGAGATACTTCAGTATATACAAATCCAGTAAGGGAGTAGTATTGGTTTTCCAATCAATGTGGGACTTGAGGAAGTTTTTAATAAAACTTACTAAAAAACTTCCTCAAAACACTAATGTGTTGCTGTCATTTTTGTTATAACCAGTGATATATAGCAGCAGCAATAGTAGTAGTCCTTGGGTTTATTTATTTATAAAATGAGAAGAATAGCAACTATTTGTGTGATTGAAGTGATGGAGGGTGGGGTGGGGAGGTTCTTCTAGTATAAATGAGGGAGAGGGGAACAGTTTGAGAGGAGTAGATAATGGATAGAGAGAATGACAAGTAAAGTAAAAGAAGAGATACTTCAGTATATACAAATCCAATAAGGGAGCACCTTGCTTATTTTCCCTTTTCAAAAAAAACTTTTCAGAAAATTTTATTTTTTTATTTTTCATGTTTTTTTGTTTTTACTGAATTTTTTTAATATTTTAAATAATTTTTTTATTTTTTAGACACACCTAACATAAATACACCTAAAAAGTAAAAAAAATTTAAAAAAAATCTTTTAAAAATTCACTAAATACCAAAAATACAAAAAAAATACAAGAATTCAGTACATTTTTTTTATATTTTTATGTATTTATTAATTTTTTAAAATATTTTTTCACAAATTTTTTACTTTTTAGATACATCTAAGTAAGGTGTATCTAAAAAAGTAAAAAAAAAATGTTTAAAATTTAAAAAATATTCACTAAAAACAAAAAAACACGAAAATCCAAAAATCAACTTTCAAAAAATTTAATTTAAAAAACTCAAACCAAACACACTGATTGGTTTTCCAATCAACGTGGGACTTGAGGAAGTTTTTAATAAAACTTACTAAAAAACTTCCTCAAAACACTAATGGGTTGCTGTCATTTTTGTTATAACCAGTGATATATAGCAGCAGCAATAGTAGTAGTCCTTGGGTTTATTTATTTATAAAATGAGAAGAATAGCAACTATTTGTGTGATTGAAGTGATGGAGGGTGGGGTGGGGAGGTTCTTCTAGTATAAATGAGGGAGAGGGGAACAGTTTGAGAGGAGTAGATAATGGATAGAGAGAATGACATTGGCATTGGCATTGGCATGCTTAACTTATGAACCCATATTTATATATAGAAAGAAGTTTTCTCTCCTCCAACAGGAAGTTTAACAGCGCATATCACACGGTGACACAACCTTGAGCTTTAAATTAATGAACACTCAAACCCAATTATATATTAATTAATTAAGCCCAAGAAAGAGATCCATCATGAGAATTAGAGAAGCCCTAACAGGGCTCATCTCTATTTTGTCACAGTTATATATACATATATGTATGACTAGTTAACAGTTCCCTAGAAGTGGGTCTAACTACTAGTAAACAATTGTGATGGGCATAGCCCAAAAGGGCCCAACCCATGGCTACCTGGGCTGCCCAGATAATTACTTGGTTAGTTATCATTATAGAGCCCAGCAAATAAGGCCCAACAGCAAGTCTTGCAGAGAACAGAAAATCCATAGTGATCCAAACCCGGTCACAGCTAGACATGTGTCGAGTAAGGAATTAGCCACCTACCAAACAAAGATTTTGCAGAGTTATTGAGCCCACGCGCCAAGCATTAAATGAGACTGCTAAAGCATTAAATGCAATAAGACCTCTTGCTCTGGGAAGTGATGAAACTGCCATGGCCGACGGCAAATAGATTGCAGGCTTTTGGTCAATGGGACAACATGAATGGATAAGGAAATGATTAATAAGAATATAAGAAAACTTCAAGGGAACATTTGGTAAGAGGTTACTCATTCACACTCTCTCTCCACACTAAGCTTTCCCTCTAATTTTCTATTCCTTCCATACACTTATTTAACTTGATCGTCGGAGGGTTTATAGGAAGGAACCACCCTCATTTCGGAACCTTTTTACTGGGCTTGTTGCAGGTGTGACTAAGAAGACGAAGGACAATCGACCTGTGGAGTACTTGGATCTGTCTAACCCATCTCTTGCTGACCAGACTACATTATCAAATTGGATTATAGAGATTGAAAATTCAATCCTCTTCAAGTAAAGTAGACAAACCAACAAATTACTGATATTAACATTAAACCGTCTGTTGTTAATAAAATAGTTGGTATTAGTATATTAATATTAGTAGTATTATTACAGGATGCAGATCCTCAAAGGTTCTTTTATGATATTATAGTGTTCAGCTCCTTTCAAAAAGTGTTATATTTAAATTAAGGCCATGTTATCTGATTAAGAATCCAGCAATGGATTGAGGTTTTTGGATGAATTCACCTATTCTTGTGTGTGTTGTGTACAAGTATAACATTTAGGGCCCAACCAATTATTCTTGATTCTTTATTCAACACCTAGGTCTGGTCCGAAAACAAAAACAAAAACAACCAACCTACACAGTGACCAAGCCTAAAACACTACAAGAATCTGCACTTTTAGCGATCACTTTCTACGACCAATATAAAAGTTGGTAGCTAAAAGTTACCTTTTGGCGACCAAATATTAATTAGTTGCAAATGATCAATATTTTTGGCGACCAAATATGAGTTGGTCGCAGAAGGTCACATTTTGGCGACCAAAAATGAGTTCGTCGCAGAAATTGGTGTGCTTTTGGCGACCAACTACAAATTTGGTCGCGGAAGGTTACATTTTGGCGACTAAAAAAAATTAGTCACCAAATTAGTACTTTTAGTGACTAATATTTTAGTCGCCGTTGATTGAGATTTGGCGACTAAAAAAGTTTGTTGGCGAAGGTACCTTTTCTGCGACTAATATGGTGTTTTGGTCGCCAAAAGTTTGGGAGGGAAATTTGAAACATGGAGGGGGGAAATGAAATTTTTTGGCGACAAAAAAAATTTGGTCACCAATTATAAAACGACGTCGTTTTGTACCAGGAAAACAGAAAAAAAAAATTAAAAAAAGGCCCTGATCTCCTCTGTCTCCAACTCGCTCTCTGTGTAGTATGTTGATTCACCCTCTCCCTCTCACTGTGTTCTCTCTCTCAATCGGTGCCCACTCTCTCTAGCTCACCGAAGTCCCTTACCACCATTGCTCACGTCCGTCACACATCGCCATCGCCCTCTGTCTAATGGACTCCTCATTTCTGGGGGATCCTCACCCAATCTCACCTCATCACTGACCAGCGTCGCACGCCACTGCTAGTGCCACCGCCATCGCCGCCGCCGCATCCTCACAGGTTCTCTCTCACTCTCGGTCTGTCTGTCTGTATGTCTCTCTCTCTCTGTTTCTCGCTCTCTCCCTCTCTAGAAGATATGAATATGACTTGAATAGCTTTTGAGAAGACATGCTTTCGGATATGAGAGTTGGTTCCATCCACTGGTTAAACTTTCATCATGTTTTGATTTTGATTTTGATTGAAATCGTCAACGATCTGTTGTAGTAGTAGTAGTTGTTGTAGCCATGGTTATCCGATTTCCATACTCTCCAGCGGAGGTCGCCAAGGTCCGGATGGTCCAGTTTGGCATCCTTAGCCCCGATGAGATCGTAATCTTTTTCTTCAATCTTCAATCAATTTATGTTTTCCATGTATTTTTATTGAGAATTTGCCAAAAAACGAAAGAAAGACCCATTCATCTTCATCTCTTTGGCTGTTAGGGTTTCAAAGGGGTTTTAATTTCTTGATGTTGTGTTTATTTCTGGCAGAGGCAAATGTCAGTGGTGCAGATCAAGCACAGTGAGACGATAGAGCGAGGGAAGCCGAAGCTCGGTGGCTTCAGCGACCCTCGGTTGGGTACTATTGACCGAAAGATGAAGTGTGAGACCTGTATGGCCAACATGGCTGAGTGTCCTAGCCATTTTGGGCACCTCAAGCTCGCCAAACCCATGTTCCATATTGGGTTTTTGAAAACTGTACTCAGTATTATGCGATGCGTTTGCTTCAATTGCTCCAAAATTCTAGCCGATGAGGTAGTTTTTTTGCTTCAATTTCTTCACTTATATCACTAACTTGTATGGAGTTCTTTTGGATTTTTTCTTAAGCTTATGAGTTAAGGTGTATCTTCAAATTCAAATCCAAAACCCACATGGGAATCTCTGATTGGTGGATTGGGAATTGGATCTTTTATTCGATACTAAGCTCTTGTGGAATTGATGATGACTACAGTATGCTGAATTTGCATTCTGACAAGTGATAACACTGGTCATGGAATTGATCGATTTTGGTTCTGACTTCGGGTTGTCTTGTTTAGGATCATTACTTTGCATGAACAGAATTGGTAGAAATTTTAATTAGCATAGAATAGATAACAGTGCCTAGAGGGTGAAATACTAGTACTTTACTACTTTAGTGTGATTTTGCTGTGATGAGTCGTGGAGTGAGTTTTTCATTATAATTATCATTTTTAGTATTATCTTCAGAGGGCATAAATTGCCTATCTTACCAGTGTTTAAACCATCATGTTTGTTTCTTGAAATCTAGAATTTGAAAAGCTATATAGCGGAATTAGACACGTGCTAAATGCATATATCTTGCCACAATTATCTATATATATGTTTGATGGTCTATATTTTCATGTATGCTTGTATCAACCACCCTTAATCCTCCTCTGCATTTACTGTAAATCTATTACAACTGCTTGTACTTTGCTTTTCAAAAACCTGTTTATTTTCCAAAGCTACCTTATTTGGTTGAGAAGGTCTCTTTGGTG